AAAAAAAAAAAAAAAAAGCAAGTTAAGCCTTCAGAAGTAGAAGCACTCACTTGTTGGTATTAATTATAACAAACTTAAACTAGAACTGTAAGAAATATTAGAAAATAACTTTCTGTTATTAGAAAATGACTGTCTAATATTTTCAGCTTAAAAGTGAGTAAACTGGATTTCTCTTCAGTAAGATTAAGATTCTTAATTCCTAAAGTTTAATTAGTTTACTCGGCAATACAGGAAAATTTTAAGACCCTGACTTAAACAGATTGTTGACAAATACCATACATGGTTCAAAGGCATCCAAAATCAGTCCATACTGGGACGAAAACACACATTTACACTTTGGGAAATTGCACTGTCAGAAAATAAGCTCAAACATAGAAAAAGCTTTTGTATAAATGTAGTTACAGAAATGTTTCAGTAGTGAAAAGCTATTTTTTCCCAAAAAATGTCTAATCATACACAGACTATGGTATATTAAAAAAACACAGTATTAACTACTTATTAAAAATTCTTAAAAGATACTTATCAACAGAGAAACATTTTTATAAAATTTTAAGTGATAAGAAACAAATCATACAATTATATAAAATTTAATTATAACTATATTTTTAAAAGAAAGCAAACTTAACAAATAGAAAGCAAACCCACACAGAGAATTCAATAATTAGAATTCAATAATTAGAATCTCAACTTTGCTAATAGTAGTTGTGCTTAGATGGTGGCTATGATTGTTTTCTTTTTCTACTGATCTGTTCCCACCTTTTCCCTTCACTGTTGTTTATTTTTCTAATTAAAAACACTTGAAAAAATTGTTCTTTTCATCCTAGTGCATTAAAATACAATCAATAAATTTAACATTCCGTTCTATGATGACAATTTTTACAAGCAAATAACTACTTGTGTAGTATACAAAATGTACTCACAGAATGAACCACTTGAGGGCAGGATGGTTGCTGAGGTGACCAGACTGAGCGGGAGGTATATGAGCCATAATTAGAATCTGAAGCTGCCTGAGATTCTACAAGGTAAGATCTAAATAACTTCATTCACATCAAAATAAATCTCTTTGCCTTCTGCCTCCTACCTAACTGAAATTTTATGTCCTTTGACCAACATCTAAATAACTTAACTCTGGAAGCCTGGGTTTC